CCCCCAAAACCCCAAAACCCCAAAACCCCAAAACCCCACAATTGGAGTCAAAAGTTGAATCAAAAGGTTATTTATTAAATGATTGGCTAGTTATTTAATCTAATCTGATATATCCATCTGTGGATGTCACGTTTGACAAATTCTTTCCATTTGTATTCTGATAAAAATTCTTTCTTCGAATATCGACGTGAAACTTTGTATATGGAGGAGTATAATCCTGTGTGTTATCACTTGAATTTAGTGATCAACCATTGTTATGTATAGAGTTGAATTGGTTGCTCTCCAAGTCAAGTAGTTTTTCTTTTAGAAGATTCTTACTCCAGATTTGGTCAGTCTGATTCTCAATTCAAAAAGATGGCAGTTTTATTATTTCATTGTAAATGATCACTCCAAAGAGGAGAATTAAAAAGCCACCGAGTTGGAGGAAGCTAAATGTTTCCTGCACTCTAATATCAACAATAAGAGGCACAATCAAAAAGAATAACCAAATTGCTACAGTTCTCAATTGTTGTAAAGTGACTCTATTTGCTGCAGAGGCATATTTGATTATTTCCATTCCTAGTCCATTCATTCCTCCATCAAGCATCATAATGACGACTACATAGAAGACTAGCTCTCCAGACATTGAAATTTGCGTAAGGGCAACTTGGGTATTTTCAACGACGCCATTATTTCATAATTCTGAGTTTCATGGTACGTACTGCAGGATTGGTAGTAAAATTGAGAAAAAAAGTACTCCAGCTATTCCTTCACATCCCATCACTTTCATTGGGTTGAGGTTATATGATCCGAGCAGCTTTTCCTCAACGACATGTTGACACCCCTTTATCATCAATGAGATAAGGAGCACAGGAACTCCAAGAGCTGGATTTTTAGAGGAGCTGTCACCTTTGCTCATCAGAGCTGTAGTTGCAACCAAGGCTATTCCCATAAAAATTGAGATGATTCCAATCCAATGATGCCTATATTGCTTTTTCTTAAGGAATATAATAGACAGGACATCAACAGACAGGATTAAGAACCCTCCGAGCATCTGTACTATGCTTGCCTGCACATTGATGTATCCTATATAGTATAGGGTAGAGCTAGCAGCATCGCATAGCATCGGAATTGCAAAGATAAACACACTAGGTTCTGTTTCTGGAATCCTGTCCACAATATTTATATCACTCGAATCCATCCTACTTTTGGGTGCGGATTTCCTGTTCTGAATGAGATAGATCACCATACAAAGTGAGTTTCCCATGAACATTGTGAATGTCTGGAAGAATGGGTGCTCAAATGACTTTTCTTGTTCATCTATTCCAGTGCCTACTGTTACCTTTACAGTATTCATAAATTTGAGCATGATTCCATGAGAAGAAGAGAGCGCCAGCATCAGAACGATCAAAGTGATTAATTTGAGGTTGTCAATAGTTGAGTTCATTTAAATATTATCTGCTCTTTGATCTCCAATTTTTAAAGCTATTGCAGGGGTTTTGGGGTTTTGGGGTTTTGGGGTTTTGGGG